GRWTWRKTTTMWTTTKGRAAAAAWATCAAGTCTATTGTRAMAACGATATCTTTTCGTGCTTTCCTTTGTGTCTGGYAAGGCATTTGCGAACCTGACAGCGGTTATTCGCTTTGAATTCCAATATGGAGTATTTAGCTGAGTTTGTGGACTCTCCAGCTGAGCAATACCATTTTAAACACAAAAAACACAGACCGACTTCTTGATTACTATTTGCTTTCCTAATTAGGACAATAAATGATTTTAAAGTTCTTATTGGACGATACAATTCCGCCTCAACWGGTCACGTTTTTGATAACAGCCGGAATTAAACCTAGATGTACAGACATAGGATAATGTGTCCTTGGTTCATCGAAGGAATTCACTTTGTGCTCGTTATACCTGTTTGGCTGTATATTTATAGATTCTATCACTCGAAAAAACAATCACAAGTGAAATATGAATATAGAAATTGAAATAGGAATTAAATATGTCTTCGAGATAAAAGAGATTTTTTCATAGTGTTATTTAATTTCATTTTCTGTTATTTTTTCATCGATTTGTTTTTATATTCTTTCTTAGAAAATAACCAAACCGCCATGCAATATTTRATTTTCGCGACTACACAACGTTTCAACAGCTAGCATTGCAGGATAGTTACGAGGTATATTTTTATTTTTTGCTGTTGATCGGGATCAATATGCTAAAACGTGATCCCAATCCCAAAACTCCTTTCATTTTAATCCCTGATCCCCTTACAGAATAGTTGAAAACTAATCATTGATCTCGATCCCAGTTGTAAAACCTTTGATCCCAGGTTAAATCTAATTTGATCCGGATCCTGAGCCTAAATCCTGATCCCAAAATAGCCTAAAAACTGATGCTGATCCCTGATCCCCATACCTCGTTACTAGACTGAGCACTATTATGAGGACTTTTATGTTGAACGAATAAAACGCGAACATACACAATTTAATAACATTTTCGGCCAATAAAAAGAGCAAAGCGCTAACATAGCTTATATTTKTTGTCTAAATTCTTATAATGAATCTTTTTACTTTACTCATAAACTACAAACAACACACTAATTGCATTTTGAAATTGTCCAGTATTTTGCTAGATTATATTTTTTGCGCTTCCTGAAGCCACAAAATATATATTCTCATCTTGTCAATAAATCAGTTGAATATTTWATTTATTTTCCCTGGTAATTCATGCACGATTTTAAAAGGAATAGTACGACCTTGGATAATTTTAGCGGCTAGTAACTTTGACAGGCTTCGCAGTTAAATATTAGGGACGGAAATTAGGACCAGTGTATGAGACTTAATYTTGATTCGTTTTCTTTTAAACCTCGCCGCGTTTTGACCAGACCAACAGCGATGCATTGAAAAAAAAATACAAATTAATTGAGCAAAAATAGTATTTTAAAATTCAAACTTTATTTCCCACGCAAAAGCCTTTGTAGCAGTTCTTAATCTTTAATACCGTGAACGATAAGAATAGCTCAAGACAATGATTTCCCTGATCCTTCTGCACACGAATGTCAATCGTGAAAAGCGAGAATATTCCCGCGTTTTTTCTCGATCAAAACTGTTTATAAATGAATTTCGTTTGCTTGGATTCAGAGGTAAAAAAAAATATAAAAATTCTTTAATTTTTGCATTCCATTTTTTGTTCTTTGTTCTTTTTCTTTTTTTGCATAAATCCTCGTGTCGTTTAAACTTCGATTTATATTGTTAATATATAATATTCAAGAATCGCTATCACGTGAGTAATAATCCATCGTGAAAAACAAGATCGCATCTCGACCCCATCGCTATGTTCACAAATTGTGTTTTGACGAAAAAATTAATATTAAATAAGGACTTTTTTAAATATAATAATTTTTTCCGTGGCCATCGGCACGCAATAGAATTATGAGATAACACCTGAGATTTCTATTACCAAATAAAAAAAAAACACTATAAGATTTACACTAAAAATATGATGGAAGTCAGTGTTTTTTTTTTTCCAAATTTAAAACTATTCCTATTTTGGACAATTCTTTACAAAGTTTGTTGGATTATATCTGTATAATATTCTGTAAATAATATATATTTACTAAAAGAGAATCGTCGAAACGCTTCCAGATCAACCAAATAACTTCAGGGAGCGCKTGAAACAAAATTATGCTCTTTCTGGTGTTAAAACAAACATAGAAAATATAACTTGAAACTTTATCACGATAAAGCGATCTTTAAATCTGTTTATCGGCTTGTGTTGTTTCCTTACCGGTTTAGAATCTCTGACACGAACGCCCGAGTAAACCATAGCAAAGCCACCTCGACCAATAAGATGCAAGAGCTCGTACGTCTCACAGAATCTTTGGTCGACTAAAAATTAAGATAAATATGATATATATTAAATACATATATGCCATAACAGTTCATGCAAAGTAATTCTTTAAAAATATTGCGCAAAAGGACATGAAAAACGCAGTATAAGAACAAAAGTTTACTTTTTCGTAGTTGAACTTTACCTTGTTCTCTTGCGCTGTTTTCGGAGCAAGTACTGGCGTTATTTTGAAGTTGAGCAGCATTCTCGTTRCACARTGGAATTTTCTTGGGTTCTTCGACAACTGGCTTGCTTCKCCTTATCCTGGCAACTCTATTAGCAGATTTTTTAGCAGTTCTACAAATAACAGTCAACAGCGAGGAAAAACGCCTTTTTGTTGATTCATTCGACATTTCTGTCAGGTTCACTGTTGACATAYCCTCCTTAGCATCGTTGCCAATATCTTCTAGCACTTGCACATCGTTCTCAATGTCCGCTGGCTGCAAAATTGTAACACAAACCAACTTCAGAGACCTAAATYCCCGGAATTAAGAACTTATACAGCTTCAAATCATACTTCTGCYTTCACACGCGACGTCATAGCTCTAAACGGACTAGCCAATCAGCGTTGGTTTTACGCCTATTTATGTTTAAGAGTTGAAATGTTTTGGGGAAATTACTAAAGGGTCGGTTAAGGATTTATGAAATGACGACATGAGTCGTWGATGAAGGAGTTTTTCGATACTTGAGACACAAATAATAGAAGATACAGTGTTTGTTTTTACTTGATCAGAGAAAAAATACGTCTATCGGAGATATATAGATTGTATAAAAAAGCTTAGTCATTMCAGAATGAGCAGTAGATTTCAGAGCCGACGGCAATAGTTCCTAGACAAGATCTAACCACAAAACACAAACATTCAAACGTCAAAACGTCAAATTATACATTGAATTCACGTGTGATATCGATACTTACAAAGCCCCCGAAATCTTTCATTGCGATGCGCCGGATTTTTAAAAGATAAGAGTGAATTTTGGTTGGATATTAAATGCATATTCTTTGATATTTATTGGCATTTCGTTATGTAGTTTAAATAAATGTTTTCAATGGTTCAATTATTCGACTTCCTTGATTTTAGAAGATAGTCTACTGAGTGCTTACTGTGAGATAATTGAATATTCCTAACCTGGAAAGTTCGAGTTTTGAATCTACAGATCTGTTTGAGTGGGGGCATACATATTTTATTGGCTYTGATGCATTTAAAGAAATTTCCGTGGCAATTTTGCCTGAAGTGTAGAATCACTACGGGCTATCGTCCATTTGAGATAGAAGCTATCACCAAAATTGAGATRCTATTTATAAAGATCGGATCAAATGCGGGCAAATCGCCTAATAAATTCAAAAAGGACACTTTTCCTTTTATTTGCATTTATGTGAAAGGAAAATATAGATTCGAAATTCATGATTATGAAACAATTCATAAATTACTCACAAATGGTTTTTATTAAGTGGAGCTGGAAGGTGTCGTTGATCCGTTTTAAAAAGAGAATTTCTAGTTTTTTACCTCATAAGATAAGTAACACTTTTAGTGCGATATTCAATTTAAGAAATGAAAATCTCCCATAAATCCCTTTTTCTATTTTTAAACCTGCTAAAATATTCATTTCGCAAAAGCTTGGTTTAAATGACCAATCGTCTGCCGAAAGATTATTTGTATTTKTTCTTAATTTTTCAGTAAAGAAAGTTCCTAGTTGGCTAGTATTTCAACTCCACTTCAATAAGTGTTTTCATTTGAATTAATAATACTAAGAGAAATCCTTCGCGCAAATGGAAAAGCATTTGTGCAGTTTACCGAGACCTCATGCAGAGAGGGAGTCCATCAACGCGATATTTAGCTCGATCCAAAGCCCAAATTCATGTTATTTTTATACAAAATAACCCCAGATGAATTCATTAAGCATTTAAATAATAACCAAATGAAATAACCAGTAAAAATTGGATGTAAAAGCTTACCTCCTGTTCTGCAGATAGATCTAGACTGAAATATTTCAGCGTCCAGCTCGGAAASGTGATGCTACAACTCTTGTTTGCCATAAGAGGTGTTCAACAAATCTTGGCGACAGCGGTTCTTTCGACCAACTGCCTYTACGACGGAGAGTCTTATAGCTAGCGACAAAATGAATTTACATATAAAGATCGCAAAGCACTTGGGTACGGAAGCGGCAACACAWAACATAATTTATAACAATGATAAAAAACATGGGACTGCTGTTATATAATCACCGAAACGTGGACTTTCATGAAAATCTAAAATCTAAAATAGAGGAAATGTTTCTTAAAAATTTATATAATACCAAAAAAACCTATATAACGAGATAAGTTCAAGTGTTTTGGTTTRGAAGAAGCTCTAGAGGGGTCGTCGAAACATAATGAGCTTCGACAAAAATAAACCTAATAGAAACCAAATTGGAAACGAAGTCTTTTTTAAAAACAATAATGATTGTATTCAATTATTTCCCTTTCTTTTTCATAACCTCCTTTTTATTTATCAAAACCTGTGGTAAAGGGGGCTAGGTTACCTTAATTGCGCTTGAAAAGTTCCTTGCAAATTGGAAACGAAGTCTTTTTTAAAAACAATAATGATTGTATTCAATTATTTCCCTTTCTTTTTCATAACCTCCTTTTTATTTATCAAAACCTGAAGCATGCAATCACTAAAATCATCTCTCAGGAAAAAGTGTCTCTTTTGTGAGAAACCATAACCAATCACAGCCCAAGTTGTCGCATATGTTTTGTGATGTTTGACCCTATATTTAGGAGTATCTTATCATCGACGTTCCCATAGAATTGCTTTGCTTTGCAAGATAAAATTATTTTACTGTGATCTCACAAGAGCGCTGATCACAATTTAAAACCTAGTGAAAAAATAATCATTTTTCGGTGGACCATTTTTCATATAATTTATATTTAAGTTTTATAAAACGCAAACGCTGGTTCGATATTTTTTTTTTTTCAAAAACTGGAAGTACTTCATGTTGGATAACCAGTTTATACGGTTTAAATCATCATAAACTGCCTGTTCAGTTGGAAACCTAAAAACACCCTCTCCGAAATTAATTGTGTAAACGATCTTTTCCAGATCATGGTTTTCAATAAAATCGATAGCTGTTTTTAATTAAACATGCGCTGGCTCTACTCTCATTAACTTGAATGGCAGTATGTAAATCAGAGACCAGAGACAAAGTTTGTCGACCRCATACTCAAAAATATTTTATACGAACGGTCACTGTTTAGTTTGTTTGCATGGTGTGTGATGAGTAAAAGACCTAAGGTTGTTTAGTTTGCTATCAAATCGACGAAATCACGGGCCAAAACACGTGATGGTCTATTTTTGCGCGGACTGGTCATACAAASGCTGTAATATTTACTTAAATTGACGTGGTCTCATCGTTAAAAAACAGAGTCTCTCCGTGCGGTCCGTAGTGTTTACGTCACTGCGATATTAGCCAATCGTTTTGCGGTATTATTTTGAAATGTTGCTAAAAACGTCGTAAGTCCAATGCGAATTTGAATTTCAATTAAACAAAAATCAGATTTATAGCTTTTTATAGAATTTAAAGCGCTAAAAACAACTCTTAAATGTGGCGTGCTGTAGAGTATTAGAGYATTGATAATCCAAAGAATCGTCGAAAACGTTTAACGTTTTAAGTTTTAATTGGTTAATCGACCATATAGGTCATCACGTAGCGATAGGAAGGAACCTCGTGATTGGCTTGTGAAACAATGGACAAACAATAGATCCTCTACCAAACAATAAAAAACTAACCTGACAATAGAGGTTCTGTTCTAACGGAGCAATCAAAAAGCAGCTTTAAAAGAGTTCATTACTTCTGACCACATAAAGTGATCCATGTTAATCGGTTATATTTGGTCATTTTAGCAGTAGTAGAGTAAGTCCAGTATGGAACTTAAAAATCTATTGTAACATTAGCAGATCTACACTCCACAAGCCCATGAAAAAATGACGCAGAATCGTTAGTGAACATTTGTTTAACTAAACGCTCTTAGAGCGCTTATACGTGTTCAAGACAAAGATTTCTATATACTGGACAGAAGTCAGATGCGAAACCAAGACCWAAATAGTCTCCTTCACGGTTACCTGCGCCATCTTGAAAGGTAGCCGCGCCTTTGCATCGAAGCTTGACAACCGTTGAGCGTGCAATGATAGAAACCTTCTTTCACACCTACAGACAATTATTCACAGGTTTCTATCTTTGCACGCTCAACGGTTGTCTCGCTTTGATGCAAAGGCACGGCTACCTTTCAAGATGGCGCAGGTAACCGTGAAGAAGACTATTGATATCTCTTACACTTTAATACTATACACATAGCTTCATGAATGATTGCGCTGTCCAACATTATTATGACAACAAAATCATTTCACAAAAAACACGATAGAGAAATAATAACGCAAAAATTGTGGTAAATTTCAACCAGTGAATTATGAGTTGATTCAAAAAACGTTATAAATATAAACGTTATATAATATAAACAGTGTGAGTGTACGTAGTATGTTTATTTAATTGTGAATTAATTAGAAAATAGGAATTATTCTTTTCATTCAGTTTTCCACGAATAAAGACA